ATAATACTAATATTAAAATATTTTTTAAAAAAAGAATTGTGCTAGGTGTGATAATGTTACCTATAACTCAACTGCCTGTTATCATTTTTTTTATATATATTTTTCTTTAAATTATGAATTGATTGGAAACAAACTCATCCATAAGTTGGAAAAATCATTGGATTCCACAAAGCTAGGGACCATGCACATATGTTAAAAGTGTTTGGAGGAGGGTGGTTTGCAAAACTCAAAGCGATTGTAGCCAGATATATATAGTTTCAGTTAATCAAACTTTAATTTCCCATCAACATAATATACCTAACAATAATAACAGATTAGATCACTATATGATAAAAGTGACTCGAAACCCACTAAGCCGCGCGCGCACATACTGTGTGTGTGTGTGTATATATATATGTGTGTGTGTGTGTGATGAAATCATTTTAGGTTTGCTACTACTGCTGGTGGGCTTAAAAATAAAAATAAATAAATAAAAACAAATAAATAAATGGTTGGACCATGCGATATATTAAACGGACAAAAATGAACAAGATTGTGTTTTTGAATGGTTGTGAAGGACAGATCTTAGAAAAAGGTGTAGGAGGGTGTTTGAGTCACCCAAAAATGTCTTGTAGCTAAGTAGGTATAGGATGAAGGACCATGGTATGGTATTAATTATACAGTTATGAGGGAGGTCTAGGGGGAGCCTCCAAACACACCCCTATTGCTCTATGATTACACCTATAGATTCCTTTACACATTTTTTTAGACATCCTATTTGTTCTTTTTACTTAAAGGATATCATTCCCCCTTTTTAAAGCAAATGTTAGATACTAGTACCAATTTTGAGATAACATTCTTAAATCAGTCACATTCACTTTTAATTTATTCATTAGTTTAATGGGATACAAAACTTATATATATTCTTTCTAAGTAAAGGGGTCCCAATATCTATTTTAATTTAATTTAATTTAATTTAGAGAGGTGTATATTGAATATATAAATAATTAAATATAAATTACCCACTTTTTTTTAGGTACAATGTCTAAATAACATGAATTTTTCTTTTAATTTCAAAAACAACACAGACCTTCCCTCTAGTTCTAGTCCGGTTTGCAAAGAAATAACCCACTTGTTTCTTGAGAAGAGATGGGAAACATGCTCAATATTATTTGATTGAATAGTTATCCCTTGTTATTTGAAGTAAACCTTTTCAATTTGTATTTTTTCACGAAAAACAAATATGAGATAACAAGTGTTTCACTAAGACTTCAAATAGCAATCCCGAATTCAAGTTAATTATATTTCACCTCTTCCTCAATAGCGGTGTCAAATTCAAGTTAATTATATTTCGCCTCTTCCTCAAAGAAAGACGATCGATCACACAATTTCGAATCATGATCTTTGGAAATCCAACCATCCATATAATATACAAAACAAAACTCTAGATATTTGATATCTTTCTCTTTGAATAAGATCTCAATTTCAGGAGGTCGGTTTTTTTATTTTATATTTTTGTATAATATCTAAAAAACATGAATTTCTCTTTTAATTTAAAAAATAACACTGACCTTCTATGTAGTTCTTGTTCGGTTTGCAAAGAAATAGTTCACTTCTTTTTCGAGAAGAGATGAGAAACATGCTCAATATTATTTGATTGAATAGTTGACTCAGCCCCTTGTTATTTGAAGAAACCCTTTGCTTCAATTATTATTTTTTAACAAAAAGCAGACATAGGATAACAAGTGTTTCTCTAAGATTTCGAATAGACGACCTGAATTCAAGTTAATCATTTTTCGCCTCTTCCTCAAGGAAAGTCAATCAAACAATTTCCAATCATGATCTTTGGGAATCGAATCATCCATATAATATACAAAACAAAACTTCAGATATTTGATATCTTTCTTTTTGAATAAGATCTCAATTTCAGGAGACCGGTTTCATTAAATATCTTTCAACTAGAATCGACCAAAGATTTGAAAACCCAATATTGTCTTTAGTACAAACTGTTAAATGGAAAAAACATTTATGTCTATATGTTAAAATGGCAAGAATATAATGAGTATAATTATTATTGTACATCTTTAATAAAACAAGTGATACAAGTCTCTATATTATTCAGACATTCTATAAGGGAGGTCAGCGTAATTTTTTCAATAATATCTAAGCACATAATAAATAAAAAATATGGGACTTGATTTAAATAGTGACATGGAATTTATGGTCGGACCCAAATAATTGATTTAGTGCACTGGTTTTTGTATGCAACATGGGTGATCATCTGCAAGTGTTGCATTTTAACCAAAAAAAAAAATCTGCGAGTGTTGCAGAAAATGGGGTCCTATAAAGCCAAAGAGAATACAACCAGTAATCTCCATTCACATGTTACCTTTGTTAATGTTCTTATATATTGCTTTGGAATAACGAAAGAAAAAGGAATGGTTATTCTAGTTGATAGATTTATTATTAAGCTAAATATTCTTTTTATTCCTATACGCCATAATTCAATTCTCTCTACTTTCTGTTATTCTCCAGTCACATCTGAAGTGGATCAATACTTTTATATTAAAAAATTTGAACATGTATTTCTACAAATTTTAACTTAAATATATAGGTAGTCAGTAAGAGTGAAAAAAATAATAATTTAACTATTGAATATTTACTTAAGACATGGTAAAAGTGTTATTGGTACTCAGACTCGCATTGACTACATATGGTTAAGTTAATTGTAAACTATAGATTGGTTTGATGGGCATCTCTCATTCAATAGAGGAGAGAAACTTTAAATTTAATCGAGATAAAATAATAATAATAATAATAATAATAATAATAATAATTGCATTATGTTTTTGTTAATAACAAAATAATCATTTTATTGTAAGAGTGTTTTGAATAAAAATTGAAACCATAATTAGTAATGAAATTTTGTTTTGAAAAAGTTAAAAATTTATTTTAATTCCTCCATTACAATACAAAAACACACAATATTATTAATTTAATGATATGAATTTGGGATCAAAAAATTTGATATGTTATGAACTATTTGGGACCAATATTAGCCGTTACAAATATGATATGGGTCCAAATTTATATATATATATATATATATATATATAAATTAATATCATAACACTTTTCAAACAGACCCTTTAAAAAAAAAAAAAAAAAAGTTTATGTAACTAGAAATATGATTCGACATAATGCATTAATGGCAGTCCAACGTGCACGTGGCACAGATTGAGAGGCCATTGTCATTCGTGAGCTAAAGGTTATAGTCGAATGATTAAAACCATAGTATAAATCAAACAATTAATGAATGTTTATATATATTAGGTTGATTATAAGTAGGGTTCCCATCATTGCAAAAGGACCACATAAATTTTCTCTTTTTTTGGTTAGAGCAAAAGGACCGACCCCATATCAAATGAGATGGTGTGGGTAAATAAAACTAGAGAATTGATGGGATGAACAAAGGTAGTGAGTGATATTGATAATTGGAGGCAAAAGATAAAAAAAGGTTTGATTAGCGAGTTGGTTGGGGAGAGAGATTCTTGTTTGTTTGTTTATGTTAAATAGGTGAATCAGACAAGGACTTGTTGACAGGGTGGTCTGTGATATGCACAATCATCAAAGGGTGATTGAAACCCACATGAGGCAAAAAGAGACATCAAGTGGGCCACTCCAGTTTTTTTGGGGGAGAGCCTGCCAATCCTTTACAATAATAGAGTCTCTACAAACAGCTCCTTTGATTTGACTATTCAGTGTTCCCAAACACATCCCAAGCCATACAACACTCAAAGCATTTTTAGATATTTACTTCTACCCTACACCACCATACTGCAATTTATTGATATGGAACATTACAATGTGTGATGGATATGATTCTGAGGGTGGGTCATGGTAAGGGTGTTTCGGTTCTTCTTTATGTGTGTAAAACTACGTACAACTGACTCTTTTCACTTCAAAATAATCGGGGATTCCGAGCTTTTACCTCTTTAATGGGGTAATGGCACCCAACTGTAAGTGTAAGCACACTGATTAGTTCCAACAAATGTATTGTTCCCTGTTATAAGATCCAACAAACAGATGGGATTAAGGGGTTATATATATATATATATATGTGATGATGATGATGATGGCAGTAATAGTATAGATACAAGGAGATATGCTGTTTATGGCAGTTTTTGGGTAATGTTTGTACAGTCGTAATCTGTCTCTAGCATTCAGAATACTGATTTTCTCTGTAGAGTAAACATATGGTACCAAATGGGTAGGCCACTGGATGCTGTCTGCTAAGAGTTAACTATCCTAGTGTGTCTTCATATGCATGGAACGGGACCTATCAGTCTAGTGGGTCCCACTAGCTAGGAGACCCTTCCTTCTGCACTAAATATCAAAGCAATCAGATGATGACCATAAGCTTCTCTACTAGTGTTTTATGGAAACATGTCCTATTGAACCTTATTGCCCACTTGGGCTGTAAGGTTTGATGGCAGGAGATAGTACTAGATTGGGACCCCATGGCATGGTGCCCTATTTGAGAGATTCATGTGAATAACACAGCTCATAGATTTTGTCCCAATTCCCAAAGTCCCCCAATGCCCTAAACACTTACAAATTTCTCCCTAGAGTGTGATAAGGGTGTGTTTGGAGTTGGGCTAAAAAAACATATTCATCAATTCAAGAAAAGGAACACAGGTGGAAAATTCCAAGCAGGAAAGAGCCGGGTTTATCGGATCCTGTCCAGTGATCAAGCCAAAAGAAAACTCTTGAGATGGACCAAGGATGATGAGATCCAAAGCTATCTTTATCCTACTTTATCATTCAAAATATTCAAATGCCAAACATAATCTCAACTAGTTTGCTTTGAACATCAACACATCATCAAATTGAAAAAGCAGCTCACAACTCACAACAAAGAGAAAGCAATAGAAAAATGAAAAGAAGCTTCTTTAATTCATTCATTACATCTAAAAATGTCCCCATCTCTCACTTTCATTCCCCTCCCCACCCCACCCCACTCCACCTCCCCCTCCTTCCTAATTTCCTCTCTCTCACTCCAAACCACATCATATATAGAGAGAGAATAATAAAGATGTTTCCAAATAAATATGAGAAGGAAGGTGATATGAGTGAAGTAGATGTTCTAAAAAAAGTAAAAATAAAAATAAAAAAGTAAAAATAAAAATAATAAAGAAAACTGCCTTAATGTGCTAATACTGCAATAACTACTACTACTACTCCCATACTCCAAGAGAGTGATAATGTTGAAGAAGCCTATTGGCTTCTCTAAGACCACTAAAATAAGCACCATGAGTAGTAGAATAATGGGTTCTATGAGTTGCTTCCCCTGCAAACAGAATTTGAAGTGGAGGAGAAGAAGACCCCCCACAAGTGGTGTTTTGTGGCAATGGCTCGGCCATGGTGTCCAAGTCATCACCACTTGAACCTACTGCAACATAACTATAAGACCCCATGAAGAGTGGATCAGTGCCCCATTTGCTCTTCAAAACCTTTGTGAAGTTGATTGCTTTCCCTTCATAGCTTTCCTCAGAATTCGCATTCCCATTGCATAATCCATCGGAATTACAAGAATTCACTTGGCTTTGGGAATTTGATAAGAAGCTAGAGATTGATGTTGACACCCCATTAATGATCTCTTCATCTTTGAGAGACTCAAGCTCAAGGGCTTCTTTGCCTGCAAACCAAGATAGCAGAACACTTGACTTACCATAAATTGGACATAGAGAAGCTGTCTTCCTAAACCACCAAGGGATTTTGGGATGCCTAAATTCAGAGTCTGATCGACGAAAAGCCATCTGCAGGAAAGGGAACTTTTTGCTGCAATTATCACGGCGGTCATGGTTTGGACCCAATTGCAAAAACAACTTGTTAACCACCCCAAATCCAAGCCTTGAAATTGCCTGAGTCTTGAAAGATGGAAGTGGAGGATCAAACATATCCGAATCTTGGTGAATTGCGGCTTTAAGTACCCCTAGTGAGACAGTAACAATGACATGATCAGCCAACATGACCGATCCATCACAAAAATGTAACTTCACTGACCTGTTACCATGACCATTTTCTGTTGCCAACAATTGTTGACCCTTGTCCTGCCACTCAATTCTTGTGACTTTTCGGCCTAATTGGATCGAACCAGCAGGTAGTACAGAAGCTAATGATTCAATTATGCTCATATAACCTTTGGCAATGGTTATCTCTTCACCAGGAAACATACGGTACTCACTTTCTGCATTGTAATCCAGAGTCAACAGATCACCAGCTGATGTGTAAGTCCTCTGAATGTTCTCATGCATTGCAAAAACTGCTTCTTCTATCGACTCTCGGCTCCAACTACCATACCCTCTGATCTCTTCTTGCTCTTTCATAGAACCCCAATAAGCATCAAGGCCTTGTCTTAGAAAAGAACCAAGACTGAGCTTTCCAAAGCCACCATTGCTTGTGCAAATCTTTGAAGCTTTAGCTGCCAGCTTATAGTACTCTGCTTCTTCATTGCTTGAACTCTCTTCATTTGGCTTCCCTTGAGCAAAATCCATTAGTTTCTTGAAGAAACAAGATACAGGATCGACCAGTGATGGATTCAACTCATACCCACCTTCAGCAATGGTCAATGACTCATCCTCCAAGGACCCATCCATGCACTCCCATGGCTGCTCAGACTCAAGTGAATTGATTTCTTGAGCAATTTTATGAAGTGGACTGCCTATAATGCCATGGATCCAAGTAGCCCCCATCTCAATTCGATCGCCACCGAACTCTGAAGTGTTGATCCTCCCACCAATTCTAGTCCCACCTTCCACTACACATAGCTCAAACACTTCTTTTGAGCCAACAGATGTGTAGAGCTTGTTAGCAGCTGTGAGACCAGCCATTCCTGCTCCAATTATCACAATTCTTGGCTTCTTGGCCACCATTGTTGCTACCTAGCTAGCTTGTTTGTTGTTCACTAGCACACAACCAAAGAGATAGACACAAAATAAATATAGAAAGTAAGAGTGAGCAACTGTGAGGTGAGAATGAGTTACTGAAGAGTTATATATAAGGAGTGTTTGGTGTTAGGCTTGAGGGGGGCTCATTTTAGCATTTTTTTATTTCTCTCTAATAAAGACATCCCTCTACTTTTGTTGATCTACTAGTAATATGGCCAATACCCAAGTAACCAAAACTATTGAAATTTCTTCCAGTCCCCCTCAACCCCACTGCATACATATCCATATATATGTATATATAACTGTCCCATACTTATCAAGCTTTTGTGTTACTAAAGAAGGTAGAATATGTTTGATGCCAAGACCAATAATAGGCTGATAATGCATTTCACCAACCTCACATGTAAATCCAATTAAGGTTGGCCCACCAGTTCAATATTTGATGTAACAATTGTTACAACACCATGTATCAATTTTTGTATATGGCAATGCTGTCCCTTGTTCCTCTGCCCCTTATTTGTACTTATATTGCAGGAGAGAGAACCTGTACTGGTTCTAGTTATAGAGTAATTTTGGCACTAGACAACTTAGGCCAACATCAAATATTACATAGTATCTATTAATTATTCGCTTTCCATCAACTTAACATCATATGTTTTTCAGTTGATGAAACATTGTTCTGAACTGGAAATTGTTGTAGATCAGTGTATAAGCAACCAGACATTCTTGGGTGTTGGCGATTGCTGTTTCTGTTTTGGAGCTATATGCATGGTGCATTTGAAAGCAACATCAATTCAACAGCCAATACTTAAAGCATTGTTTACTAAGTGAAACTCAATAGAAACAAGATCCAAAGTAGTAGTAGTAGTAATAATACAAGTAATCTAATATTATTGTTGCTTAGAAGTGCATTTCTTCATATGAACCTTTTCATGTTACCAATTTTTTTTTAACTTAATGTTATCAACATTTATCTCACTGACAGTCAAAAGTATATTCCTATTCAAAAGGGTTTGGAGCTTTGGATAGTTAGCATGTTCATTGTAAATAGTGAACATTGTTTGGTGTAACAATCAGAACTCAAGCTGTGTAAGGATAAAGAGTCTAAGAGTAGTTGCTTTGTGCAAAAACAATGTCAAATACTAGGTCCATCCCTAGTTTTCTTCCCAATGTCCTACATTCGCGGAACTATTATTATCTTTTTCTTTTTTATAGTTTTTATATGTATTAATATGACCAACAATGTCATGCATATTTACTTTACAATATATATGCTAAACTCTAACCTTTATCTAAATCTTCATAAAAGGCAGTGCAGATATGAAAGTATCGTGGCTAGATTAAAAATGAAAAAGGCATAAAGAGTGAACAAGATTTGATGTCTCAAAGGTGACTTAAAAGATTAATTATGGTTATGATTTATTTTCACAATCCCTAATAAGCACACTCATCACTTTTCATTAAAGTTAGTTGATTTTTTTCCATCTAATGAAACAATAAAGCCAAAAACTGAATGATTATCCAATGAACTGTCCTCAATTAATTGGATCATTTTAACTCTGACTTAAATTTAAAATAAAAAATTTAATGAAAAACTCATAGAATTCAGAAGTGAAGTATGCATTTCTACTTGCAAATGTGTTTTTTAAGATATACATGTACTTAAGCTACAATCTTTCTAATTGCTTGTACGTGTTTTCTAAACAGTTGATTGTCAACACGAAATTAAACTTTTAGTTTGGTCTTGTGTTTAAATATTCATCAAGCTAGCTAAAATTTTGAATACGATTAATATTCTAACATGACATGAAAGTATAGTTTTCAACTCGAATCTCACCATCATTCTACTCCTAATAGTTATTATTGATGCTTGTGTTTGGCACTACAAAATTGAATATGTTATGTATATACTATACATACACGCATAATATAAATAAGTACGGTTAAAGCATTGAAGACTGTTTGACTAGTAACTTCATTATTCATTAATGATGATTATTAAGTGTTAACTTCTATCATGATTAGTGGCAATACTTAGGTACATTATAATAATAATACTCACAGTTCATTCAACAAGACATCATCATTAATTTGCATTAGTTATATGACTTAAGGTGGTGCATCATTATCAATGCATAATGCAGAACAAGTCAAAACCCTTAATTTCCTAGCACTACTCCACACTATCTCTCGTGACCATTTTTTATCTTGAGCACCAAATCAATCTCTTATATATTTACCTCGTTCCATGAAATGTGTATTGAAGCTCGGATTCAAAGGGTATCCTTGGGATCATAAGCAAACAAACAGATGAAGCTTTTGACATATATAAAGGTTGCATATAGTAGTACACTTGGAAACCAACATGAGAATAATTAAAATTTGATGTGTCTCAAAGCATTTAGTGTGTAAGATTTAATAGAAAACAGTAACTTGATCATGTGCTAGAGAATATTGTACTGGAGCTGTGAACCTTTGAAATAGTTGAAAATTATAGTGATGTCTTTATAGTTGACTTCATAGGGCACATGGGTTTTCGTGTTCAAGATATACAATACATGCATGTAAATTGTAATTTCCATATTTTCCCAGACAAATATGACTTTATCCTTAGCCCATATGTTAGGGAAAATATTAGCAATCATAACATAAAAAAGCTTGAATTAACTTAGTAGTCAAAGACCAATATGGATTTCATGTGATCTTGAAGTCAGTACCTAATAGCTTCTCAAGGATTTCTTAACCAAGCTTACATGTTGTTTAAGTCGTTTAATTGAATTGTGGCCACTGCTTATTGCAAGAAGAACACTAAAGCCATCTCAACTAAACCAACTAACCACAGGTTGGGGTTAAGACAGTTGAGCATCCAGACAAATCCTGGAGATGGAATAGGCCTGGTTTTATTTCAACCTAACTTGGCTTGCACTAGTTCCAACCATTCTATGGGCTAATCTGGTACAAGAGGCTCCATCTACCACAAGTCTTAGGAGGGTCAAATGTACGCAACCTTATCAATGCATGAGGAGAGGATGTTTCCGGTTTCAAATCCGTGATCTACATATCACAATGAAGCAACATTACCTTTGCGCCGCGATCTGCTCAATTCCAATCCCTATGTATAACTAACAACTGAGATCTTAATCACATCATACCTGCCACTTCAGTGGGTGGTCCTTTCACCTTAGGTCCACAAACACGAGAGAGACCTCACAAAGAATGGGCTTGGTTTTGAACTCTGTACTAATGTGCAGCTCAACCCAATGTTAAGAATTAAATCTGATAATCTCTTAGCCAGCCAGACTGCTACAGTAACATAGAGGGTGGCTTGCAATTATCCATTACCTCATGGGTATATTTTGTACAAATATATAGGATTCAACTAATTGAACACCAACAACAATCCAGCCTTTTCCAACTACTTGGGGTCGGCCACATATATACTATATTTCTATTCCGCTCTATTTAAGGTCATAATCTCGGTCAATCCACATGCTATCATATCCTTCCTTACTAACTTTACTCACGTTAACTTCAGTCTTCTTCTTTCCGTAGTACTACCCTCAATGTGGACTATGTCACTTTTAATTGGCGCATTTAAAGGTCTTCTTTGCACAAGTCCAAACTATTAAAATTCAACTAATTGAAGTGTTATAGAACTTAGTCCACCAATTTCATGCTAACGTTGCAGATTTGAATGACAGAAACTCATAGAGAGAGAGAATGCAAAACTTGGTCAAAAGCCTGTCAAAAAGCATCGTCTTCAGCCACAATTTGAATAGTTGTAAAATCACCGAGCCTGATCCTTATTGTGTCTGTCAGTGACCTAGTCACAACTATGGCCATTCACTTGGGCCCATTGGGTTCCAAAAAGGCCTAGCAAACAAAAAGAGTTTACAGAATAGAATCCAACTGTTGATGGACCAAGCCTTGTTGCAAAACCCATTTTGTTTTGTAGCAGAATTTGGTCTCTTCACCAAAAACCTAGTCCACCAATGATATGCTCTCTCCTTCTTATACTAACAGTTTTTATTTATTTATTTATTTTTATTTTTTTTTTGCAAAGGAACCCTTCCGTCAATATGCCGTCAACAATATAACCGTGATGAATTTTTTTCAGCAGTAATATGACAAAAATACCCTTTTTAAAGATTAAAAATCCTCCTCTCTCGTGATCTGTGGTTCTCGCACTTTCGTCTCTCTTCTCCGGTTCAATAATTGTCTCCACTGGATGACAATTCAGTTCTAAGATTCACACTTTTTGAATCGATACTCAATCGGTTTCATTCAGTTCTAGATGTATTAACAGCTTAATTAATATATTGTTGACTCATCAACATATTCTATAAAACTTTCTAACTAGTATGAAAACGTGAACGGAGGAATTGGCAATGGCGGTGGGAGTGGTGACCAGAACCAGTGGCATGAATTTACAGAAGGTGGCAAGGATGTTCTTAAATTATGGATCATCTTGCAAAACAATCACGAATCTTACACAGTTACACATACACACATATACATGACACACATCTCTATATATACCCAAATCACACATAAGAAAATCTAGGGTTTCATGTGACAATACATTCACTTAATTCTAAAAACAAAAGGAACAGCTTACCTCATTGTCGAGTTCTCCACACAGATGGAAACTTCCGGACGACGATGAAATCTCTTTGAATGACGTCAATTTAGACTTGATCGCGAGACTGTGTACAAAGGGAATGATGATTTAGTCTTTGCTTTCGTGTGCGTGTGTGTGTGTGTGAAAGAGAGCTTGATTCCGACATAAACTTTTTTTATTCCGGCGACTTTGGGAGATGGTCAAGGTGAGACCAAGTTGTTTTCCTTGATTAAATGGCATTCTAGTAATTTACTCTTTTAAATACTCCGTATTTTTTTCATGGTCATGCTAATTTTATACAGTATTTAACGGCGGGCAAACTCCGTAGGAGACGGACTGCAACCCTTTTTTATTCTTTGAGGTGATTTTTATACAACATATGCAAGTTCAAAATTCCTCGCATGAGGTTGAATTCATTGCACTAGGCCTCAGTGCTCGAGTACTGTTATCGAAATTTAAAAATAAAGATTTTCGTAAGAGAAGATATTGATTTCAACCCACATTGCCAAAGGAAATTTACAAATATTTTCAATAAATTTTTAACTAAAATCATTTTTTTTTTTTTTTGTTTTTTCACACTAACATTCCTTCATCTAGTTAAAAGCTCCTTTTAATTTTGAATTTTAACAATGACATCATTGTAGATCGAACACAAATTTCTAGACGTAGAACTTCTTCATATTTTTGCGAAAGACACAAATATGTATTGTTAATTTGTTACCTGACATGCAATTTTATTGATTACTGATATAACCTAAAAATAAATTCTAAGGTATTTATACAAATTAATTGCCAGGACTCCGTACTATATTCTAACACATTATGGATCTTATTTTAATATTGCACCTTCCAAAGATCCATTAATATATATACATATAGACGCACACATAAGAATTTGTACTACACAATTAACTGGACCACTAACTCAAATAAAGAAAGTATTTAGATAAGAGTAGTAAGTACTACAGGCCTCCATTATATAGCGTCCAAACAAGGACTGCCAAAATAAGTTAGGATAGACTCACTCTCCTCTTAGCGTGTGTCTAACTCAATGAATGAGACACATCAGTCGGTAACCACCACCCGAGACTTGTAAATATCATTTTCCACTAAACAATATGACAACCAAAAGAAAGTAAATACTAACTTAACGGCTGTGCTGAACATCCCAAAATAGCTAACAAAGGGCTAAAAGATGCTATAGAGCAAAAACCGAGTGTTGTAACATTCTCTACTTTCAAAGATTCTGCGAATATTGTTTGCATTCTATGCTTTCACGTCTTCGGACTACAAGAAACTACATGTGCTTTGAACTTCTCTAGCTCAGCCAAAACCTCCTCTTCTGGCCTGTAGATCAAATCGCTCATGCGCCATATCTGCATAATAGCATAGACCAGTAGTAGTATAAGTTTAGTATATTGTTGACCACTATCCAAATGATTGCTAAGACAAATTTGGGAAGGGGGGAGGGGGTATTTGTTGAACTCCAATCGTCAATAAAAATGGAACTAAAAAGAACATCCCGATACCTGTAATGTACCACCCCCACCACTGGTATCACAGTCATCAGATACACTAACAACAGTCCATGGATCAGCTGCGTTCCAGTGAAAGTCAACTACTTTATCCCTGGATGCATAGTAAAGAAGTAAGCACCATTAGAATGAAATACTAAAATAAAAATGCTCAAATAAATTAATAATTTTCCAGTAAACCCTTGAACAAGATATACTATTGAACAAATCAAACAATAAATGTATGCAGGAAGAAGACAAAACGACGAGTCCATAAGGTATTTCATAAATAAGTTTTGATAAAATTCTTCCTAAAAAGGCTTTTTCTTTGAAGGACTTGTGGCATCACAAAACTCTCCCAAAACCCTCCCAAATGCACCTAAAAGTGGCCAAGAATATATAAAATTTACGATAACAAAAGGACAGGAAAACCCACCAAAATTTGGAGTAAACTTCCCAGTTTTCTTTTTCTTTCAAATTTTGGTCTCAGTCCTTACTTTCTTGTTGTAAATATTGCAAAAACCCCAAAAATCCATATTGGACAAGAAAAAACCCATAGATTGAAGATAGTCGTGTACACACAGAAGTAAATACAATTACTAAATAAAATTGACTAATTGTGAGGAAAAGAGGAAGGTAATTATCTAGGATGCCTATATGAAACAAAAACCAAAGATTACATCCATAAGGAATGACATGAGCTACAAGGACAAAGGTAAAGTCCAAGTCAAGAGTCACAGCATAATGGCAAAAATAATTCAAAATATTGAAACCCAAATATTTGGGCAAAGACTTTAATTTGAGTTGCACAAAAGCAAGCAACTTCAAACCTGTGCCCAGCATGTTGGAAAAACAACCCAGGTGGGGAATTTGGAGTTCTTGTTCCACGTTCTCTCTTTATACCAACCTGTAAGATAACGCCGAAGATGTTTCATTCTTAGAATAATCAGAAATAATACAGAGAGATATAATACACTAGTAGAATATGCCTAAATGTCAACAGTTGCAAACTGGAAAAGTGCTGAATCTACGACCGAATAGGTTGTTACAGTAAAAATATTTATCATAAAACAGGAAAACGCTATAACATGCAAGACAGCATGCTTATATTAGTTTCGGAAAAAGCATCACTACCTGAAGTCCTCAGATGAGAACGGAAACTCTGTAAGCAAAAATGATGGGGGGAAATGAGAGTGAAATACTGAGGCACAAAGAGGGATACAAGAAAAACCTAAAGCTGCTAAAGGCTTCCAAACTGAGATCCCACCTCTCCCCCTTTTGCCTTTCATTTCTAACAATTTGCTCAAAAGTAATTCATAATGATGTTTGCAAAAATGAATTTGCAGAACAAATCAGTGCTGCCAACTAATAACAATTTGGACAAACCACAGAGAACAACAATGAAATGCATGGTTTGAAGCCCTTTAAGCAGAGTAGAGCAACCAATTAAGTGGAGCTAATCCTCATGCACACTGGTCAGTGGGGGTGAGACAGCATCTACTGTGTGATATTTTCATGCACAAATGTACATGCTTAGACACGCCCACAAAAAGAGAGAGTTATAAGGAGGATAGGACTTTCACACCTTCTCGTAATCCCAAATGTTTAAAATACCATCTTCCGCAGAACTTCCAAAGACCGATGACTTGTCTGGAGACCACTGGAATAAAAATGAACAGTTTCGAGTTAAATATTTGTGCATGTGCTATGTGTATGTGTGTGTCCACACGCTTACAAAGAAGCACTACACACCTACTTCATAGTTTAGAAAAAAAAATAAAAAAGTAATACGAAAGGTAAAGGAAGCAAGACAATAGATTTGTTTAATACCTGCACACAAAGTACAGCAGCTTTATGACCTTCAAATTTATGGATGGGTGACCCTACTCCACTAGAAGTTAGATTTCGACGATCAAACATGCAAACAGAATGATCCGCGGACCTGAAATGACATCATAGCAAAACAAAAGCCGCTAAAATATTCATGATCTCCATATTTGGGCAAATTAAGCCCCTAAATATTCATGATCTCCATATTTGGGCAAATTACAGACACCTTTTTAGACGTAGAAGTATATCATATACCCATAATTTGAAGTTTCAAAATTCAGTTCAGGTACAAAAGAACAAGGAATGAGTATTTACCCAGTTAGAATATAGTTTACATCATGAGGATTCCAATCAATGCAGTGAAGGTCGGCATTATGTGCTTTTTCAACCTATTCACCAAAACAAAAACAAAAAAAATTATAATAATAAGACCTCTATAGATCAATATAAAATTTAAAAATTTAGGAAGTACTAGCCAAATATTAAAAGGTTAAATGTATAAGAAATTAAAAATGCTATTATATTAAGATTTCTTACATATTCAAAAAATATATATATAGTACTTATATACCATTCTTTCAAAGAGAACCTATTTTGGATCTAAATTGTCAACCCAGACATGGCAAGCCAACACTAACATGAGACAATTGCTGACAAGCCATGACTATATTGATCTTGAAGCCTGAATATAATGCTTCAGGAAATATGTGTTAAATTAACAGGCAACTCTCCAAGAAAGGAGGCAATTTAGATTATCAGAATATCTTGAGTGTCAGATTCTTTAAAGCTTTAAAACCTTCCAAAGCAAAAATCAAACTCTGCATAGATGTGTTACGTCTGTGATGAACAATTTTTGTTTTTTTTGTTTTTTTCTTTGGTTTTGTTTTGAATAGGTATATAGTGTTAAACATATTGGTGCCATCTACAGAGGTATAATTCTTGAGCAGAACTAAATAGGTGGGCCAAAGCTTTGTGCCAACAATCCATTCACATAGTGCATTTCTGCAGCCATATTTGACAAGTTATCCCGTTATGAGTTCCATGGATATAATAGGGTTCACTACTCAAAATCAGAAGTAAGCTACCAATCAATAAAGAAAGGAGGCACCTGACCTTGACAACTGGGCTAGAGCCAGTTCGTGCATCCCATAATATTAGGCAGGAATCATCACCTACACTACAGAATTCCTGTGCACTTCAACAAAGTTACAGAAACGTCAGAAACAAAAGGTCCCAATGAAAACCAGAGAGACTAGATTGCATGCTAAAATCACCACAGAAGGAAGTAAAAATGATGTAGGGCACAGTGCTGGCCAATTATGAGAGACCTTGTTCATAACGGAAGACTTAATAGTTAGATAAGATTTTGATCTATGAGATATTGCATGGTGGACAAAGATTTTGATCTATGAATGATGCCGAGGATGCTATCTTAGACTTCACAACTCATATATATATATATGTATATATATATATATTTATGATAGCAAGACTAAGGACAAACATTTAATATATAAAACAGAGATCAAACTGATTGTGTTCTAACTAGAATAGAAAAACATCTAACCTGTAAAGAAGTTTAAGGTATTCCTACAGAAGAGAGGGCTTGACATCACAGAATATGTGACAGTTTTAGATGTATAATTTCAAAAGCAATAAAATAAATTAAAATAAATAAATAAATAAATAAAGGGAGAAAGTAGAGTAAAATGTGACCCAAAACCGAGTAAAAACAGGTTACCCAAAACTAAGATGGATTAAGAGAAAGATATGATAGAGTTCAATTTAACTAAAGTACTACTCTAGTACTGAGAAAAATGACAAAACCGAATTCATATAGCAAAATCCAAAAAGTTGGAACAAGGCTTTGTTGATTTGAATTGAGCTATATATGAATTGAAGTGATAAGAAATGATTTTAAAAAATTAAATATAATAATAGGTAATATGGCTTATGATAGAAAAGTGTGGAAAAAGAGAATCATATGGCCGACCCTGTTTGAACGGGATAAAGGCAACGACGACGATGATGATAAATTGAGCTATTTATGAAGAACAAAGATCAAACCAAAGAATTTGAGGTACAAGCTCCTCGTGAGGCATAAAACTGTAATAGCTCTCATAACTAAGGGCACAGTAAACAACCTTTTTTTGTGTGTTTTTGTTGCCAAACTAATGAAAAATAGGAACAAGTGATGAAAGTACAATTTTTTTTACAATCTTCAAAAAAAAAATTTATATATTTTAGCTTTAATCATTGTGCAAAAAAAATAAGTTACCAAGCATATTTTTGTATCAGAGTGAATCATTGTACAACACTTCTCCTTCATATGAAGTTGGAAAAGCAAAATGGAAGCGGCCGCCAAACGCAGCCTAGATTACCATATCATATTACATGATTGCAAAAATCTAACCAAGATCATGAAGTTACCTTGACGGACAAAACTGCACATCTTCAACAGTATCCTCATGCCCTTGGAAGATCCCACGTGGTCCAATAGATGAGTTATCAGCAGCTTTAATGATCGATCCAGCAGATTCTACAGGCTTGGTAGATGCATCTGTGGTCAGTGTTGATATATGATCATGAATACTCCACAAAACCACGGATTTGTCCTTGCCTGACATCAAAATCTCCTCATTATGAAGGGAATTCACAGACTATTCAAATTCTATCTAAAACCTGGGAGAATAACTTTAATGATAAATGGAGAAAGACAGTTTAAATTTCCTAAAAATGTTATAGGAATACAGCATCTAACTGAAAATCATTAAATGTCAGAATGTTATATCAAATTCCTGTGATACATTACTGGAACTTCAGCAAGGACAAATGCCAAAAAAGATAAACAAGCTATCAGTCGTATTCCAGATCCAATAAGAAGAAAATGCATAAATAATGATTACAAAATTACCAATTTTCACACTAACATTTAATAATTTGGAAAGGAGCATGAGGATACAAATAACATAGAAAATATAAAATTACAGCAATAACTTTCTAACCTCCAGAGAGGACAAAGGGTTCAGTTGGACACATTGCAAGAGCAAATTCTGCATTATCCTGATGTCCTGTCAATACCTGAGAAAGAAAATTTTCTAAGTTAATTTGTGTGATTCCTCAAGAAGAGATGCACGCCAGCGAGTCCAGACGGCTTATCTTCAATAAAACAGTATGCTTAGAGGGGGGTAATTCCATAGTAATGCATACAGATACATGAAGCAATAATGTAGGGGAAACAAATAAATGGGACCATGGCAATTTTAAGATTCTAGACAGACTATTTGTGTATCAAGAATTCATAAATCTACTCCGTGAAAAATTAAAATAAAATTCTAAAAACTCTCCCCCACATAATCTAGTACATTAACCCTCATAGAAAAATTAATAGTCATATGAAAAAAATTTAATTTATATAGCACTAAGCTAACACGTTCTAGGATTAGATGTAAAAAGGAACATGATAAAATTTCATAAATCCTCTTTTATTCGTTATCACACATTGCATAGAAAATATTCAACTGTAGATGTGAAAATTATCTATTTAAAAAATCGATTTTAAAAAACACAGGGAATCCATTGCAAAAGTCACTATCGCAAAGATAAGTTGAAAAAATAAAAATAAATAAGAGAATTAAGATTTGTGTAAATAAGAGATTGAATGTTTCGAAGCAAGCTTAATTAGTTTTAAAGAGAGAAAAGAAGAATGAAGTTGAAACAGTGTTTTTGAAGCAATTTTTTGTCCCCTTTCCCAATACACAATATAGCAAAATAACCAATCATAATAAAATATGAAAAAGGGAAGGAAAACAACATTGAACTCATACAAGTCAAGTGTCGGAACCAAATGACATAAATTAGCTGTAAAAATAGACTCAAAAGAGTCGTTGCAGAGAAGAAGGGAACTTTTTGACATAATTACCTTAATTTATAGTTGTTAAAGGCTAAAGGTGCCAAGGTCTTTTGTAGCCTAAGTACAAGGCCCAATGCAAGGCTCAGGCCTGATTGAAGTAAGGCGCATGCATGATAAAAATGAATACGAAATATAATACAGAAAAAAATTAAAATATACAACACAAACAAGTCAAAATTAAAATAAAGGAAATTTTCAGCATATCAATTTAATGGATTAGCTAAATCATTATATGAATGTTAAAGGTAACCCAAAGTTCCATTTAATACACATGACATAAAGAGATAAATCTAACACCTACTTGTTCTAAAATTTCTTTCAAGTTAATGAGACGGATACCCAGAGCACATTTGTAGCAACCCTCACCCTACCCATACACAATATTGTCCGCTTTTGGTTCCCCCGAACCAAAGACTTCCGAGGAGGTCACCCATCCTAGTACTACTCCAAAGTAAGCACACGCTTAACTTTGGACGTTTGATGGGTTCACGGCCATCACGGCTTTAAAACGCGTTGTGTCATAGAAAGGTATTGAACCTTACATATAGCACTTCACCTTCCCTAGGCGATGTGGGATCATGACACCCTGGAGCTTGCCAGTGGAGTAGCTTATCCAGTGTCTTGCACCCGCCCACAAAGGTCATCACAACATTCATATGAATGAATAAAAAAAATTACTAAGCAAGGTCACCAAGTCTACAAACCAAATTTATTCATGACAGACAGAGAGAGCAGCCATGCAAGAGTATTGGTTCACTAGAGAGAAGGAGAGGGGTAAGAAAGAGATTCAATTTCTATATGCAAAGGAGGGAAGGAAGAGAATAAGAAATTCAAAACTTTTAATACCTGCAAAAAAACAGTTGCATAGTTAAGGGAGCATTACCATTTTACATGTGACCTAATTCGTAAGAGAGCAATTACAAATTGCAATTTTGATCTTTAACAGCAGTCAACTGATCCTCAGTCATCTATTCCTAAAGTGGACTATATTGCAAAAATAACTCCGATACTCTGATTTGATGGGTTGATAAGGATAAAATCATAGGCATGACAAACAAAAAAAGACTGGAAAGAAAACCAATATTGTGTTTGGAAAGAGAGAGAGAAAGCAACAAACCAAATCTGGACGAGAATCACCCGCTCCCAGGACAGCATGACGATTTGGTTGAGCTTCGATATCCCAAATCAGAACCTGATTCAGTGATTGCCAAATTAGGTAAACTTTAGCTCTTCCAATCAATTTATTCAGATCAAAAGACACCAAATGTTTACAAGAACCTTTGCATCTTCCAACATACAATATGAAACCTTAATGTAATAACTTACTTCGGGGCAGTCAGTGTGGGTTGCCACTATCTTATTGTTTTGTGGGAGTTCCCTTATTCTGTTCACCTGCAAGGATGATCAAGGCGAAAAACATCAATCAATCTGATAACAACAGAGCATTTCCATCTTGTAGACTACCAAAGCATAGAAATTGGGCATGGCACATGTCAAGGAGCCCATATAAGCCAAAAAAAAAAAAAGAGTGAAAACAATGAAAATCCTTCCCACCTTATAATACATTAAATAGAAATAAGATAATAAAACCACATTTGAATCGTGATCAAACTAGACATAGTCACTTTTTGCAAACACTAGTGCGCCTCCAAATCCACACATTAATGTGTGAGCACACAACTCAAGAAGTGTGCAAGTTGTGTCAGTCATGGGGGACAGCAGTGCAGTGGTAGTAAAAATGGAATTATGTCATATTAAGTTATAGTTTTCCTACCAATTTAAACAAAGAATTTTTATGATTGAGGTGTATGAGGAACACAATTTAACAGATAAAGAGACAAAAAAAGGGAGATTTTATTTTGGAAGTGGAGAAGCAGCATATATTACATTAATTTCAAAAGCTCGAAAGGGTTTATGTATCTAAGTTCTAATAATAAACAAAAGCTCATGCATGCATAGATATATTTATGTTTGAATCCATGTGTATGTATGTGGATAATTTATTTTTTAGTATATGTATGAGGATAACTTATTTTTTAATGTATGTGTGTCAATATCAATCATACCTCTCCAGGATGTATGATAGTTTTGTGCTTCCTCACAAATGGCGAGCGTGTTTCTTCATTAAACTGGACAATCAAGTAATCAGGTAGTAAGGAGAAATTAGATCTGCATGCATCATCAAAGCATAAGGGGAAAAAAGGAAATACGAAAATATAATAACAAAAAACCTGTGATATGTGCTCCGCGGATGCAACCCTAGATTTGACTACTTCGCAATTTGCAATGACCAGAGTATTAGGAACACTACCATCAGTCTGTCATACATAACAGAGGGGCAAAAAGGTAAACACAATAGGCATGGAACTTACAAATAGATGACATCTTAATGGAAATCCATGGGATTAGCATTACTATAGATATCAACAATAAGGGACATTAATGTCAGTTCTGAACATGAACAGACATACGCAAGACATTAGCTATGCCACCAGAATGATACAACACACAAAAGATAAGTTACAAAAGATAATAGGCTAGCAACAAAAAGAAAAAAAGGAGCATGTGAAGAAGGAAGAATTACACTTGAATAACAAAAAATTACAAACTAATTGAATTATAGTAGAATTTAAACAACAAAAACATAAAAAGAGTGGGAAAACCATAAATCTCTTGGTCAGTGCTTACACACCTAAATATCAATATCATTATGCATCTTGACAATATATGAACAAACAAGCATACAACTTATGAATGATTAAACATTTGATTCCGACAAATATTTTGGCAGACCAACATCAAAAATACATGAATCACAAAAGATGAATTAACTTGCCTGTTCAGAAAGGTAGAGACGTTGTCGATTCTTTTGAGGCCCTTGCTCAATCATTGGACCCCACCTATCCTCACAAGAGAGAGAATCAAAATCCATATTCAGAAATAAAAATTAAGAACAATCATCAAACAAATCAATAGAAACATAATATAATTCCCACCAAGAATTCTTAAAATGGTACCCCAAAACCATCCTTACCCTTGCAGCATTGGAGAAACTTCAATAGATGAGAAGAAGTACACATAACATATATGCATGTGTGTGTATAAACTAACATTCTGTCATTACAGAAAAATTAAAAGCAAATGAAATTCAACCTAGGGTTTTCTATATTGCAATCCATCCAATTCCTCTCATCGAAATATTGTCTACATGTCAATTAACAAAGAAATTCGAAAGCCTGGATTGAACAGCAGAAAAACAGAAACCCCAACCAGAACACATATGCATACACACATGTATATACAAATGGATAACATATGTGCAAGTGCACGTGTAAATTCACAGTCAGTCTTAATAGAAAATTTCAAAACACCTGAAAGCTGGCCTAGGGTTTTCTAGATCGCAAAATCCATCTTATTCCCGACATGGAAAAATTGCCTAAAACGTACAAAACCGGAACCCTATATTACGCAGCAGAGTAACATAAACCCCAGACAGGAAAAACATACACATGCATACATTTTATATACAAATTCCTAACATATGTACATGTGCACGTGCATATTCACATTGCCTATGTAAAAAATCTCAACCTATGGTTTTCTAGATTGTAAAGTCCATCAAATTCCTAACATAGAAAAAAATGTTTATTAGTCCACATTTCAATCAAATCCGAAACCCTAGATTGACCAGCAGATAACACAAACCCAAAACAGAACACATATGCATACATATATCTATATACGCATGTGAATTTCACAATGGATTCATCGAAAATTTTGAATCCGCATAAAACTAACCTAGGGTTTTTTAGATTGCAAATTCATCAATTTCTTTACAAGAAAAATAAAATAAATGTCTATAAGCCCACATTTCAATCAAGAAAGGGGAAAAAAAATAAATAAACGCATATACATATAGATACAAATATAAATATATACATATATATATATATATGTGTGTATTTATGTATGTATGTATGTATGTGTGTGTTACCGGCAAGAGAGAGAGGGCCAGAGGAGGTTGTGATTAGCGAGCCAGTCATAAAGAATGGGGACGAGAGACTTCCACTGATTGTACTTCTCATCGACCGGAGGAGGAAGAGGAGGAGGCTGTTGTTGGCCCTTTTTGTCTTTCATCTTCACATCTTCTTCTTTGTTCTTGGTTTTTGGCCTCCCTCTCTTTCTCGGAAGCGATGGTGGTGATGCTTCTTCCATGGAGATTGTAGACTCACTCTATCCTGTTAAACCCTCCTCACCAACAAAGGTATTGGACCTACCTGTTGTCACCAGCGTGACTACGTTTATACCACTCCATTGTGTCCAAGCTTTGATGGAGAAAATGAGCGTGTGTTTCACGCTCCTTTATTGAAGTTGCCCTACCCGCGTCAATCAGAATCTGGACAAGAGGGAGATTGTGCCAATCAAACGTTAGTCGCGCCTTTCTTTTGTGTTTTTTTTTTAAATGGATATAGATAAAAGGATATTTCAGAAGGAAGAAAAAAGAACACCTGGTATTTTGGAGAAATTATTATATCAATTGATCGAGACAGACAACATTTGTTTTTTACTATTGTTATTATTTTCACGTAAGGATGTTTTAGACATATAGCTTTGTTGCAAACAAAATGACCTTTTTCTTCTTCTTCTTCTTCTTCTTCATTTTTTTTTTTTTTTTTGCATGTTAATTAATTGCTAGTGGAGTATTTGCACAATTTTTATATAGCCTATAAAGGTTTTTGTTACTTTACCTATGATTAATTTATGAGTTAAATAACTCTTAGGTCTTTATTCTCAACTCTCTCTCTCTCTCTCTCTTCTTTATTTGGCTGGAAAGAAAAAGTAATTGAATTTTTTTTTAAGTTTTTATTCTATTCTCGTATTTCATTCTAACATTTTTTTCAAATGCATTTTTTATTAACTTTGGAATCATTGGTTTGCCATTGCTGTTAGCAAGAGAAAAGGGAGAGTAACGGATGCTATTATAGCCTAGGGCGAAAGGGGGTTAATGATGCACCCTAGCTTTACATGCTATGCTAATTTTATGTTCCAAAATTTCAGTCCCACTACTTACAATTTCATTTCTGCTCTGAGTGTATTGTTGGAGACATGTTTGGCTAAAAATTGGGCAGTTTCTACAATCTCTGTAAAGGGTCAAGACAATTTAAACAGCATAAATTCAACATTAGTGCTTGGATATTTACTAGCACGAAGAGGTGCACTTAATGGTTCAAAAACTTTTAACGTGTTCTATACATTTCAGCAAAGAAAAATACTCTTCTTTGTGTAAGGGTCAAAAAATGCATATTATCAGGATCTTCATTGTATTTCAGTTGATGAAAGCCTTGATCAGAATAAGCTTCCAGTACCATTCAACAATTACTGAGGTTTAATCTGGAGGGCATTCACAGTCTTCTTGACAGCGCATTTGCAATAAAAGTCACTGCTGTAATTTCCTTGGCATAAACTTCCAAGCCCAGCCAAGCAACTTCTGTCTGCACGAATAACCATGTGCTTGCTCATGCAAACGGATTTGTACAGTACGGGAAATTGCAGGAGAAAGTTAACTACAGAAAGGGGCTTCAGAAATTTTCAATGCGATCCAGGCCATAACTTGAACATCACCCCATGCTCGCTAACACTGCCTCCGGGCAATCTCCTCAACTTCTTCCAGAGCCACCTGTCCCTTCTTGTTCTTAAAGGACCCGAACTTGAGTGCCTCCTGAATGACTCAGATTCTTGCCTCCCAATTCTTGCAGATGTGCTTAATAAATCTGACATTGAAAGTCCCCTTTCAACATCAAGCCTGGTTTCATAGTTGGAAACTGGGGAGTGAGTTTGCAAAGGATCCGGCAACTGGCCTGAATTGATACTGATCCTAGTATCAAAATCGATGGACAGATCTTCTTGGCTACGACTCCTGGATCCTGATTCTTTTGTCTCATCACACTCATTGCATACTAGTTTCAAGGCCTGAACAACCTCACCCATAAAAGGTCGATGCGAGACCTCTGGTTGAACACACATTGAAGCAATTGCTGCTACTTTTGTAATACTATCAAAAGGGAAATCAGGTCCCATAGATTGGTCTATGATTGATTCTAATCCTTCTTTACTTGTAAGGAATGGCCGAGCCCAGGCAACTAGATTTTCTTGACCAGGTGGCTGAGACATTTCTACAGGTTTTCTTCCAGTTAAAAGCTCGAGAAGGACAACTCCATAGCTGTAAACATCACTCTTCACAAGAAGATGCCCGGTCATTGCATATTCTGGAGCTACATAGCTGTATCAGAAATAAATAAATAAAATCATTGTACAGAAAAGTATTGCAAAAGGCACACAGAACAGCAGAAATAAATCCATTGAAGGGTTACAAGGATTAATGTAAATTTACAAACACATTAATAAATCCATGCTGTTGTTTAGTGCACAACAACTTTACCAACTATGTAAACTGCTGAATCTAGGTAGTCACCAGAAATCTCTGTTAAGGATTACGAAATTACCACTAGCACTATAGCATCCCTGATATTTGATGTCAGTATGGAAAGAGGTACCATATCATACGATGGAATTTTAAAATTAATATAACTTAAAATCAATTTAAGACGATGCTGGCCGATGAAGATACATGCACTGGGTTGTTATGTCTCAACTAGGGTGATTAGGAATCAGATTATGCAACCAGAAATTAAAATTCCATACCCAAAAGTTCCCATGACACGTGTTGAGATGTGTCTGTTATCCTCATCCAATGCTGTCCGAGCCAAACCAAAATCAGACACTTTTGGCATAAAATCATGTTCCAACAAGATGTTGCTCGACTTGAAGTCCCTATGTATGACTCTAGGACTTGAATCTTCATGCAGATAGGCTAGACCCCGAGCAGCACCAAGTGCTATCTTCATCCGGGAACCCCAATCTAGTGGCGCAGTTTCCTTGTCTACTCCTGAGACCATTCAAAAATACATAAATATAGCCATTTTGTAGAGGACTGAACCATGAATAACAGTATATATTTTAAACCCAAAGCTTCTTAGATTATTATTAATACCATGTAGATGAGATTCCACGCTGCCGTTCGGAATGAGTTCATACACTAAGCTGCGGCTGCGTTCCTCTGTACATATACCAATCAACTTGACCAGATTCCTGTGATGTAGGCGGCTCAGCATCTCAACTTCTGCCAAGAATTCACGACCACCTTGCTGATCATCTCGCTTAAGTACCTTGACAGCCACTTTTGTTCCATCTTCAAGAACGCCACTATAAACACGACCAAAGCCACCTTCACCGAGTATTCTCGAAGCACTGAAGTTATCAGTGGCCTTCTCTAAATCACTTGAACTGAACACCTTAGCAGATCCAGTGTAAGTTGCAATGCTAGATCCAAATGATAATGAAGCAGAACTGGGCCCACTTCCAATCGTAGATGCAGCAATCCCTGCAACATTCGTAGATATATTTTTAACCTTGGAATATAATAATTCTGAATGGACCAACACGCTAAAGAGTTGAGCAATTACGATAGGTGTTAGGCACAGAATTTTAACATCATATCAGCTACTTTGGACCACAAAAGCTACCATTGAGGTCGAAATTCTTTTTGTTAAATTTGTAAGAAATCCATTAATTGTAGTAATAATTTAATTAAACCTTTCAATTCTCCTAATCAACTGACATGACAAGAGCCCCCATTTTTAGCAATTATATGGTCAGGTGTCTTGCATATGATGTATTTAGGATCATTTTAAGCAATTTACTCAAATAAAAACACCATTATAGCTCAAGCAGACTGAAGCTAAAATTGCACATGGTTTACACAGTAATTACTGGAATTACCTGATGGTTTTGACAGGGAAGGTAATGTAGCTGGAGGAGTTGGATCCGGTTGGCAAACACGATCTCTATGTTTGAATAGTAAAACCCAAGCAACTGCAAAACATAAAATAACAGCTACAGAGGCTGACAAAACTATGATGGCAATAACCCCGCCGCTAAGTCCATCATTATGCTGCTTCCTCCTCACATCAACCCCTAGCGGCTTTATGGTCCTTCCATTATTGTCGTGACCTGAATAGGGCCCATCATCTATAATACTAATGTCCGAAGGTGCCAAAGGTGGTGAGGGGGGAAGACCTATAATAGTATATTTCTATTGTAAGTCCCCGGATTCAAATTATTAACCTAAAGCTTAATCAAGGAGGGGAGGATTAATATATGAAGCAAAAGAGAAAGAAAAAAAAAATCCGTAAAATACCTGGATAGCGCACATATAATACTTCATAATCACCAAAGAATGAAGGTTCTATAACAACTTGTTTGTGCCAGAATCTTTGATATGTTAAATACGCTGTAGTGTTATCAAACTTATCTCCAAGAGGTACCAAGTCAATAAGGACAATTGTCTTCTCTGGGTCCTGGTTGGCTGCATTTGCTCCCATGATTCGAACTTGACTTTGTTTCATAAACACCCCGCCTGCAATTTCCTCGGCCAGCTCTGCAACCAAAGGGAAGAAGGTATATAATGCTACACTTAGGCCCAGTCCAACTTGCATAGGCCAGACACAGTCACAGGGCGATCCAGGAGGCGTATTTGTTAATGGCTCTGTGCACGTAATTGATGTACAATCTACAAATTGCAAAAAAAAAAAAATAGGTATTAAATTCTTGTAGTGAATCAGAAATTAATAAAGCGTAATCCAGACACTAAATGGAGTAGAAAGAGGCTAGAGTTTAGATACCTTCGTTAGGAGGGGGAGGTGGCAGAGCTTGAATTGGTGGCAGGACTGGCATCTTTGGATTCCTTGGTGTAGATCCAGAAGGAGAAATTTTAGGGGAAAGGAAGGGCACTTGCAAAAGCAAACATGATCAGATAAGCCATCCACTAGGCAGAACATGGAACAGAAACTTTTAAGAAGTTCTTAAAATTAAAAATAAGAAGTAAAAGAGAGAAGGACAAAATGATATTTCCTTACATTTGCTCTGCCCAGATGGAGCCGTTGGAGACAATGAAGGTGCCGGTGAAAAATGGCGCTCTGATGAAGGAAAGGGAGAATAGGATGGAATGACTGAAGAGCCTGCCTTGCAGGAACAGTTTAGAATTTGAAACTACAATTTTAGCTTACAACAAAAACTTTCTATAACTAATCAGAATGAATTTCAAAAGTATGCTGATACCTGGGTTCATTGGTGGAGGAGCATGGTGCCATCTTTGACTACTCTCTGGATGTAACATAGGCGGATATAAAGGAGATGGAGGAATGATTACACCTTTACAAAATATAGTGGGGAAAAGAAAAAGGAAGCAGAATGTATTCAGTGCTATATGTTATAATAAACCCATTATAGTAATTTGGTTTAGACATTTCTCAAGTAAAATACTGAACCTTGTTGATTTGAATGGGGAGGAACCAGATATGATAATGGAGCAGGGCTGGTTATATTTTTCCTCGAGTGATGATGCTTATAAAATGAGGTTGAAGGTAAAGATGCAGGAGACTGAGACCTCATATCCGCAGGAGACTTATGAAACGAAAGAGGAGAAGTAGCATTATCAGAGTGCCTCGTTGCTTTGTGCATGGACGGAGCTACAACGGAAAATTACTTTTTTAAGTTATGTTGATAGCATATTCAGTTATAGCTGACAACACTTTGCTAAGATAAACAGCTCTCCAACATACCTTTTGTTGGGGAAGGGTTAACAGGTGACAATTGGTTAGGTATTTCATTGGGAGGTGCAGCAACCGGCGTACCATCTTTTTTCCAGTTGATGCTTGGAAGAGGAGTCGATATGGGAGAGATAACAGGTTCTGTAATATCATATCAGAACGAATCAAAAATTAACATCCATCGGGTATAGGAAGCTTACAGTACCTCCATTTGAAAATGAAATGGAGATGAAATGATCAATTTTTTTATTTCTAAGGCAATTAAAAATATCTTTTGGTCATCCTGGAATGACTTGGTAAAAGAAATAAACTCCTTATATATGTCATGAGAAAAACAATAGGTACCATCCCAGAGCTATGAAAAAAAATTTGACGGCTTGATTCTCATCATTTCATGTAGTTCACAAAAGCCTGTATAATCTTTTTTGCAGCTCCCAAACAACATAGAACTCAACTCAACAAAGCTCCAAACTATTTGGGCCAGGCATCAGACCATGTTTTGTCATTATGCTTTATCTATAGCCATATCTAGTATTCGGTTAACGCAACAGGCAGCGGATCCTTCCTCGTGGCCTCAGACCACGTGTATGATATTATACATTAATAGAATAATTGGAGGCAAGTTGCAAGAATCGTTGCTGAGATTGTTCACAGCCACTTTGTCTTCACCTAAAGAAGGTATGTAGGCGAATATAAAAAATAAAAATAAAAATAAAAAAGAAGGATCCTCCCATATAACCACATTAATTGCGCGAAGAAACAACCTTTAGTTTACATATTACAGTGACAAGCATATATGGCTTCAACAAGACCATAAAGCAACAAATTGTTGAAAATAAATAATAAAACTAAAATGTAATAGGTGTTACCTGGTAAATTAGATGGAGGTTCTTTGGGCATTGTAGGGTGGATGGTCGGTGGATTTCGTGGCAATTGGCTTGGAGGTGATCCAACAGGCACTGCATTGTAGAAACATTAGAAGAGACTTAAGGGAATATTCCAACTGGAGAAGTTCGTAAAGGAAGTTATATTTCAAGACACTTCAGGGTATATTTGGTGGTATATATCTGGGCATACCAGGGAAAATAGATGGCGGTAGTCCAGGCATTGGGTGGATATGTGGGGAATTTCCTGGCATTTTTCTTGGCGCTGATGCAATTGGTACTGTAAACAACAGGAGCTGGTATAGTTTAGAACAATCTCAATCAGAAATATACTGATTGCACAAAATAAAAGTCTCATCAATCAGGGATACCTGGCACAATTGGCAAAGAGGGAGGAGCCTTATTCTCTGGTGCCTTGTTTTGATTAGAACTTGGTGGCACAGATCCTAGCAAAATTGAGTGGGTGGTTGGAGGTGATGTAAAAGGTATTTCATATTAAAACAATAGAAGCGTTGCAGAACAAGTTTCGACCAGAAATCTAGCAATATCACAATAAAATCACAATCAATCATATACCTGGAGAAACTGGCACCAATATAGGAGCCTTATTAAACGGTTCCATTCTTTGAGGAGCAGTTGGGGGCAAGGATGGTACAACGCCTCGAACAGTTAAGGATGGAGGAACTGAGCTATATGGAGGCAATACTGTAGCAATACTTGGTGACAAGGATGGCACGAGCCCTTTGATTGTTCTGGGTACTGGGGCAGACTTGAGAGGTGGCAATGCAAGTGGTGGGTGTAAGACTGACCCTGATTTGTCAAACCATAAGCTAAACGAAATGACATCAAGGGATTAAATAACAATTCATAGACTGAGGATTAGGGAATGTTACTGTTTGGATGAGATGCTGGACTAGATGCATTGCTTCTCAATGGTTTTCCATGAGCGATAGGACCAGTAGTTCCTTCTTCAATAGGAGAATATGCAGAAAAGGTTGCCAAAGATAGGGATATAGTGAAGCCTGAAAGTAAACATAAACCTAACGGTCCTAAGAAGAGAACTCGAAGATTTTGTTAAGAGGACAAAAATATCTGCTAATTCTTCTGTATCACTTAACAGATAACAAACTGGTAGCTTTTAGAATTGGACACAAAATCCAAACTCTATCCAAAAAGTATGAACATGTCAACTAGATGGCAGACTTTATTGTACTTTTTTGTTCGGATAAGATTATATGTCCCCAAGTGCTTCTACAAACTTCAGTTTGACAGTGACTACATCACTACAAAGAAAAAAAGTTTCTGCTACTAACTGGACATACAGAATCAAAAATTTATTATGATGAGATTAAGTTGTGACCTATATACTGTAGGAAGGAGACTTTTTAAGTGATCAAGTATTTTAACTGCTCAGTCTATATAGGCCATCAAGGATTATTATCATTAAGAAGAACTATGTCCTGAGCATTAAAATAAATAAATTGCAAACATCTTGAGGAAGAAAATGTAATGAAGTAGAAATATCAATCCACTTGCCCAAGTCTTTGTCGAAAAAGAAAAAAAAGTTTCTTGGGACATTTGAGTGTGAAGTAAAATAGATCTATATACTAGCTATGGGAGTTATCCAGAAAATTAAACTTGAAACCTACAAGCTCCAACCTTCAATTGATTTTTTTTAAGTATTGCCATCATAGTAAACATTCTACAAGATGAAATAATGATCTGATCACAAAGATGCAGAAGTATGTTCCATCGATCTCAACCAGACCAAATGTCAGTCCCTTAAACAATATGAATCAATCAAAACAAAAATCTAGAATAAACATTAAGCACCAAAATTAAACAACATTGGCAAGAGAAAATTTGATGAGCCCCAAATCACAAATTGTTGTCCAGATACACAAACGCCCAAAAAAAAGAAAATAAAAAGATGTAATCATAGCCCACGTGAAATTGCAAAATAACCAAAGGGGTTTAATTCTTAATTGATTAAATGTAAAAATGCAAATTAAAACAGTGAAATTCAAAACAAAACAAAAAATAAAAAAATACCTGCAGATCCTTGCACAACCAAAGCAATTCCAATGACACAGAGTTTCACCATCAAATCCATCCCAGATGATGCCAAATCTCAACTTCAACGTCCTCAATGATAAAGAAGGGATTGAGCAGTAATAAAATAGTAAAAATAAATGAATAAAGAAACAAATAATAGATTGATTAGTTGAAGCTATAACAAAAGGAAGGTTAGATAAGAGAAGACCCAAAAACAGTGAGGAAGAAGCAACGAAGAGGCAGTTTGTAGAAACCCCAAAAATGGGTTTGGTGATTAGAACCCAAGCAATCAGTTCTGTGCCCAAAAGCTCTAAATTTTGCAGAGCTAACTTGAGATTGGCAAGTTACAACCGTTTCTACTGACATGCGAGTAATTAATTAGAGGTCATATTAAAACTGACCACCTAAGAAAACTAGAAAAAAAAACAAAAAAACAAAAAAACAAAAAAACCAAACACTCGCAGTGCCAGGTAACAGACTCCTTGAGAGAGATAGGGAGAGAGAGAGAGGCGTTACTCAGTCGGGGTATGGAGAGACAGGACAGTGAAATACAGAAATGGAGTAAATTGTTAGGTGGAATGAATTTTTAAGAAAGAAAATGATATTATTATTAGCCCTTATAGAAAAAGTCTTAATACACTCTCCAGACATCCTATCACAAAGATAGTGAAATAATTTATTTGGTGGGAAATATATATATATACTGATATATTTTTTACTTCAAAATAAAATTCTTCAATTTATGAATTTTTATTTATTTTTTATGTAACCGTAATATATATAAAAACTTGTTAGTGGAAAGGTAAGCAGAGAATAGTTTAGTGGGGAGTGAACCAACTTGCGGTTGAAATTCTTGGTTCTACTTTAATGGGTTGCTTGACTCCTTTTACTTCCTGGTTTTCAGTTGTTGATGCTGCCCACATTATGTGTGTGTGTATATATATATATAGATGCTACATGTATTTGACACCTCATCCTTCATATTTATATATCACATGGTTACAGCTTTACGTATGCTCCAAATTTTGTTCCGGTTGACATGTGCAAGGAAATGTGCTTTAGTTTATTACAAGAACGCGCACAGGGGCGGGTTTTGGTATCTAAACGAATCATATGTGAATAGATTTTTATTCTCTGGACGAATCATATTTAATATGCTGAATGTGAATTGAAATTTTTTTTTGTTAGCACAATTGAATGATAGGTTAAATTTTTGGTATCTAAACAAATCATATTTAATATGCTGAATTTGGATTCGAAATTTTTTTGCCACATAATTTTGGGACTTAAATTTTACCAGTGCCATAGGGCTGGTATGGGTGGGTGAAGAGTTCTCCAGTTAGAAGAATTTTTTTTTTTTTTTAAAAAAAAAAAAAAGGGAAAAAGAAGAAGAACACCCAATGTCAAGTAAGAAGTAACTTACGTACGCAAATATGGTTTGAACATGTGCATAACACATTTAAAAATATTTTATTTTCTAATTATATGATATAGACAAGGCAAAGACAAGTTTTGAACGTAATTTTGTAATTATAATTTTAAAAGAATGGTACAATTTGAAGTATATTATTAGTTAATTAAAAATATATTATAAAATTTTAAGAAATAAAATAAAGATAACAAATGTCTAACACAAAACTCCAAATTATTAATTTCATTCATCATTTTATAAATAAAATGACCAAAAGTTTATTTTATATATATATATATAATATTATTATTTATGTCATGCACGTGCCCTATTTATTGTAAATTTATCATATTCGAATCAATGCTTTCTAATTCTACATTCATATCAATGCTTTTCTAAATGATATGTATTAAAAAGGGTCATTTGTCCCACATCTAATTCGGGTGAAAATTTGATTGGGTATAAATGGGTGGGTATACAACCCTACTAAATAACTTGAACTTTTGAGTAAATGGGCAAATACCTCACCTGTTACAGTTGGTATCAAAGTTTGTTACAAGGGTTATTTGTCCCACATCGGATAAAATGATTGGACGTAAATAGGTAAGTATGCAAAAATATAAATTATATATATTTTTGGGTAATTTACACAGACATCCCTGTGTAAATTACTAAAGTACCTATCTATAATACACTCACACTTAAACTGGGACACTTCTGTCCCAATTATGGGCAGTATGGGCAGCACTAATTTTTAAGGGGATACGTGGGATATGCATTGTCCTAAAAAATTACTAACTTGCCCTTTTAAGTTTTAAATATTCAAGTTTAAAATTTTAAACTCAAATGACATGTATGGAAAAAAGGAAAGTATGGCACTTATTTTGGGACAGAGGGAGTAATATGTATTACAAATGTCCTCGGTGGAGATGGCGGTAAGAGGCTGAATAGAGGCGCATCCAACGTGTGGTCATACTGGGCTTGGGTCCAGTTGCTGACGGGGCGGGGCGGATTTACAGGTGTTGTGGACAATGAGTATGACAGAGGCGTTAGACTCGCTACAGTAGCAACCCATACTAGAAAGCAAAAAAAGACACCGACCATTAGGTTGCCGTCCATGGGAGATACCTGGTCATCGCCGGAGACTTAAAGGAGAGCAAGGTAGTGACGGACATGATTTAAGATATAAGGGTCGCTGTTAAACAAGACGATCCTTACCTGAGAATTTTTATACCCAAATCAGAAAAGGTTTAGAACAATGACCAATCGACCGGTGAATTTTAGTCTAGACTAATCACTGGAACGTCATTGAAGACCCCAATCAGATGAGTTACCCTAAATTGAAACCTGAATTTCAACATCATTGCTCGAAATTGGCTAATTTCATAAGAGACCGAGACGAAGTGGAACAAACGGCGTTGAAGAACGAAGGAACGGGAGTGGACAAGCAGCGATATACACACCTTAATTTAGTATGAGATTCACCGGAATCAATAGAGGAATCAACCATCTTTAATGCAACTCCGGTCAAAATGGGTCTTCGTTGGGTTAGTCTGAAGCTCTGTATCTTCGTCGATTATATAGATGTGAGTTTCCACGATTTGGTTGCTGTAACTTTTTGGGTCTCACATGTTTTTCACGAAATGAAGCTTCTTCGACTGCTTAGGTAGATGAATCACAATGCTTCTCCGGTCGGTTCGTCACTAGCCGAAGTTTTCGGTTGTTTATGTAGATCAATAAGTGTTTCAAGATTTTAATAAATTTTGTACATTACATTAGTATATTTCGTCCTTAACCGACGTTGACTCTAAAAAAAAGAAAAATCCGTGTAAGATATTTTTATTTTTAGGAAAAATTTGTGTAATTATGACAAATTATACTAAAGGTCAGTGTAAATTACTTTTTTTTATTTATTATTTTTTGAATAAAATTGTGAGACAGATATATGTAGGTCTGAATTATATAATTCAAGGGGAATTCTAGATAAATGAATTAAGGCCAATTGGCCAAACAAAATTTGACAAGTACCAGTGCGTACTTGTCAAATCATATGTATATCAACTATAATAACTATGATTTTGAGGAGTGTCCTATCACTATCATATCCAAACTCCAAAGTCACACGATCACACCTTTACGTCGGTATGATGAAATGGGTCCATGTGATCGTTTGATGGTGTAGGGCCACAAGAGGTTTTAAAACACCAGTTTACCGTCAAGTTTGTGTGGTATACAATTATAGCGTAATTCAGTAGAGGGCATTATTGTTTTTCGACCATCATTGAATAATGAATGGAGTGAGTTTAATAGGTAAAAACGAAAAATGATATTTTATAGTTTTATTTTCCAAAGAGTTGATATAGAGTTGATTTTCTTTAAAATAATAATAATTCTAATGGACCTTTTTATTTTGGTGGTTGATTATATTATGGGTGTCGTTGAACAAAAATTTGTTAATAGAAATAGAAAGAAAGAAAAATCTCATTATCATACCATCAACACCATGCTTCAATTGATTTTTTGAATTACTGTTTGGGTAAATTATGCTTGCCTTCCTTTAGGTTTGAATAAATTACATATGAATAAATTATACTTGAGTAAAGGAAAATATAAAATTATTATTTTATAAAATTTAGTCAATAAATTTATAAGAAAGAAAAAGCTAAAAGTGTCATGGTGTACGACATTATAATTTACCCTTATTATTTTAAGTCTTATTTATTTATTTGATTAGCATCTTTGTGCAATGTGCATATGTTTATTTTACAGCTCAACACAATAAGATACAAAATAATTAATTATACTTTTAAAAACCACTAGCATATATATTCCAAAGTAATTAGTTTTACTTTCCCATTTCCATCTCAAACTTTTGCTACATTGTTTCCGTTCAAACAACAATACATGTGTGTATTTAAGAAGATTGAAGCTTGAGAAAATAATAAAAGCGTCAATAGTTCATTTCCTTTTATCTTTTCAATCTCGAACTTTTGCTACTTTATTTCCCTTCGCTATGGGCCTAAGGGCTGTAACACATACTTGCTTTTACCCATTGGGCCCTTGCCAAATCACACTCTCATGGAACCCATATGCATAAAACAATTGAATAAAGCTTGTCCCCTTCTCAAGTGATATGATACAACAATAGAATGATACATAATTTATTTTTAATTTAAAATATAAAAAAATATTAATTTTTTTACTTTTATATTTTAAATTTTAAATTTTAAATTAACATGCATTATTTGACAAGTATTACCCAAAATAATTTTTGAAATCTTAGTGACTGCTGTTACTTGGACGGGTTGCCCAATGTATGAAATATTTAACCCAAACCTGACCATCCTTTGATTTTTGAACTAAGGTTTACAATTTGGAGATATTGGGTTATTTATATGGCTAATCCCCACACTAAAAATTCAATATGATTTTTCAAATATTGGGTTATAAGCATGACTACTCCTAAACATGAAAGATTTAAAAAACTTATTGCAAATTTTTAATAAATTATAAATTATTAGAAAATTAATTATCCAAATGTGAACAAGTAATAAATTAAGATTTAAACAAAATAAGTTGAAAAGGAAAAAGTGATTGTAATTTAAATATTATATATTATGCATTTAAAATAAAAGTATATATGAAAATAATATTAAAAGTCGGGTCGAGTTATCTCGGGTTGCTAGTACCTCAACTCAAGCTTAACCCTAATTAAATTTGGGTCGAGAATTTTCAACCAAGCCCAACCCTAATTATAAAAATGGTTGCCTAAATATGTAAAAAATCGGATTGAGCTCGAATTGTGTTTGGTTGTCTAGCCAAGTTTCACTTCTATTAGTGCAAAATTTATTAAATGGTCCTGAATTATTTAATACTTGGTGGACTAATCCAATAAAAATTAATGTTGAGAACTGTTGGTGTATGTGCCACGATACTTGTCGAAGTGGCAACTTTTTGGAAATAAGCACAACTGATCGAGGCTGACCTGGCATACCCCTAACGGGATCAAGTAGGCTCGAGCTACTTACCCTAAAATCTGAATTTACTAGTTGAGGAAGGGGTCGCTACCCTCCTTCTCCTGTGGACGCGCCCTGCTCCAGTCGGATAGGCTCCTCCCCTACTTCTCTGAGGTTACTTCCTACAGGCATAACCTCGGGTATTCCTCTCATCGAGCTCTCCCTTGAGTTGAAGGGATCTCGAGGCAAAAGAAAGAGCTCCACGAAGTCGAGAAG